TAGCCAGAAGCCTGTGAAAGGTCACAAGATGACCTTGTGGGGTTGTGTGTTTAATGCTGTGGGGGAAAGGGAAAACAAAGTGCCTTTACACACAAATTTAACTTTCAAATGAAAACACTCTGGAAAACACGCCAGTTTAATCATTTGAAAAACACCTGATTTAAAAAAAATACGAATTCAAAGACTAAGCCACATGTTTGCATGCGTGCAGAGGCCTGCTCAGGCTCACCTGTGTCGGCTCTCTCCTGTTCTGGATGTAAAACGACTCCAGATTCGGCGATGGTGCAGCGGTCACTTGAAATCTATTCTTCACCCCAAGACACCTGGCCATGGGTGGGGCAACAAACCTGAGGGCAGAGAGAACAAAAGGTATCTTAAAAAGAGGACGGGGGATACTCGGGGTAGCAGTCACTGTTTAGCTGTAAATAGAGCGCTGGGTGAGCAGAGTGTGACTGCACTTACATATGAATGCATTGTATTACCACTCACTTAGCAACACAACAGTTAAAAAACATTAGGTTAAAGCATTGTTACAAACCTGCAAACAAGGCTGCTTTTATTAGTTAATCATAGCCATGCATGATTTTTTTTTCCACTCCAGGAACATGAGATCATTTGACAATCACATGACATCTTAAGTATGATTAACAAGCAATTTGAGTCTCTTGACGCGTCTTCTGCTTGTTTGCTCACAGCTAATATGTTAAATTACCTTCATTTAGGTTTGAACATCTCTAATTTTCTCCCTCATTTCATTTCTGTTTATCTTCCTCTCTAGTTTCCAGTGTCTTTCTCCCCCCATGCTAACAATGCCAGCTCCACTCACCAAAAACACAAAAACACCTGCTCACTGTCCCACAGCTCGGATCCTCTTACAAAGTCCTCTCTATTGATACCGTGGATGCTTGGCTATAGGCAGCAAATGCGGTGCGACTACTTTTTTCCCCAGTGGTGACAACGACCTCATTTGATTGCTATATTTTCGAAAAGACTTGTAAGTGCTATTTCAGCTTCAGTGGAGTGAAATGTTTGTGTGCTCTGCTGCAGACCCTTCACTATCTCAAACACTCACTCACCCATTTCAAAACAAAGAAGGCTTGTGTGCTACCTTTCAAACATGTAGCGGAGGGCTACGAAGCCGAGGGCGAGGGGCAGAGCGATGAGAAGGTCCAGGGGTCTGGGGCGGTTGGAGTCCCCCATTTGCTCCATGTCTCTCCAGGTCACACCAGGAGGAAGCCAGTAGTCCTCCTTCCATAAATCAGGCAGCAGCTCCATGTTTTTTTCTGATGCACAGGTGAAGAAGAATAAGAGAACATGGTGGACAGAACAAAATAAGAATAGATTAGATTTACTGTCATTTAAAGGTGTATAACTCAAACTGTGAAATTAAGTTTGGCATCTAATCTGAAGGGCGAATAATATACAATATACAACACACACACATAGACACAAATGCACAAACCAATTATGATATGTACAGTACACATTAGAGGTTTCCACAGAGTTAAGCTTGAGCGCAAACAAACATGAATTCATCCAGGTATAACAGCAGGTGAGGTGTCACGTGAGAGAGACAGCAGCTACAACAAGAAGAGCACTATGTTGGTGCATCCTAAGCATCCTATGATCCTACATCTGTCACCTCAACTACAATATGTTATCAAAAATCAACAATAATACTAACTCTTAAATAAATAAAAATGTCCCACAATAAGAAAATTCCTGTCCTACAAGATCAGAATTAATGATCCTAACAACCATAAAGCACGGGTCAGGTGAATAACGATCTCTTTTAAACAAAGTGCAGAGAAATAGCCGACTGCACTTCAGTTGGTTGTTTCCATGGATAAACGCAGTAAGCTGCAATGAGACCGCCGAAAGAAACGGGATCCAGAGCAGAAACCTACCGACCAGGACCTCCGTGTGAATTACAAACCGAATTAATGAGGCAGGAATCTGAAAGAAAATCCAGCTTAAACCGAGATTTCAGGCTGAGCCCTTCGTGGCTGACGATGCGCCGTGGTGCTCCTGTGTCCTGAAGACGACAGCAGATCCGAGCCGCTCGGTCATCATCGATCTGCAACGGTTGTTAAGTCAGACGGGGTTTTAAAAAAAAATGAAGCGGGAAAGGAAGCTGTGGGACAACCTTCAAAAGTAAAAGCCCTCGGAAGAGTATGTTGTAGCTTTTAGTAGTTTATTTACTTAGTTTTCGTTTCCCCCCGATAAATTTATATAAATATAGAGTAAATAAAGAAATATCACTTCCTTCTCTCTCTTTAAGTCCAAACTGAAAACTTACTTGTTCAAAATAGCTTATCGCACGTAACCTCTTCACTCTACTATTTTAAATTTGTTTTATGTCTTATGCTTTTATGATTGTGTAAACTGTTTGCTTTTATGTAGCTTTTATTATTCTGCTGTCTACAATGCCTTGAGTGTTTTGAAAGACGCTTTCAAATAAAATTTATTATTTATTTATTTATTTATTTATTTTAAATATCATTTTTAATTAATGTAAGCATATTCTATTAACACCTCTTGCTTTTTGACTTGTATACAGCCAAATACAGTCAGGTCGTGGTAGGTTCAAAAATGTAGCAGTGGACCTTTATTGTGAAGACTTCCGGTCTGCTCTGTCTGTCTGAATGATTGATAGCTGTGGGGGGACTGACGCACCAGGGGCGTCTCCGGCTCAGGGGGAATGATTCACAGTGTGAAGTGGGCTCTGTGGTTACCTTTTAGGTTATAGTGGGTGGGCAGACTATTGCTGAATGCTTGCTACAATTTAAGCAGAAGGATAAGTGGTTAATAGCTGGGAAAGCAGGGATAGGCCTATTTTCAGTGTGCATGGTCTTTAACATATCAGGCCTTATAGTTGTTAACCTGTCATGATGTTCTACTATATAACCATTATATGAATAACACAAACTGGGGCAACCATGGCACAAAAGCTGTGATCTATTCCATCTCATTACACTTTGTTTTACTGTAAAAACTGTTTGATTAAATCCTTGATTGAATATCATGGATGGGAAACATGCCTGATTACATTTCCCTCTACTCCTTAGTAGATTATTCTCATGGCAGACTTCTCCCGGGTCACCTGCTCTCTCTGGGAAAGCAGCTCCAGAAACCCATAGCAACGAGTTTCGAAGGTAAGCACACCTCTCTGCACAGGCTGGCAGGCAAACCTTTTGAACTTTTACCCTTAAGAAAACTCAGGACAACTTTATGGTTCACTTCTTCCAAAGCCACACTGTGGTCCTCCTCACACTGTCCTCCTCCACATTCAAGCACTGCAGACAACACTCCTCATGTCCCAAGATTAGCAGATAACATCAGCACTGTTATGCAAATGTGCCGATCTTTATTGCCAAACAGCTCAGCCGGGGAGCTGTTTGGCAATAAGCTTGTGCATGACACACTAGAATTGTGTGCGTCACGCCTCAGGCATATAGGTGCAATATTCGGTCACATACAGGTAAAAGGTGTTTAAATGACTTGTGTTCTGGCAGTAAGGGGAGAGTTTGTGTACATGTGCAGCAGACAAATTACTATGATTTGCATGTGGCTGGGTGTGGGCTGTCCTTCACTGAAGTGTATGAGTGTATGTATAACACCAGTGTACTTGTGTTACTCGTGTTAATGCAATATTAGTAATATCTCTTTGTGGAGCTGCACTCCAAAGACCTAATTCACCCTTTTTAGGAGTTCAAATATTTCCATTATGTAAATATTTAAAAGTTAAGCTTTAGGTGTCAACTGTCAAACAAAGAAATGAATCAGTGGGAATCCTGGTACGCGCAGGTGTGTTTTTCTGTGTATTTCATGTTTGCATATTCAGGAAGGTTTGATCTGATCTGCATTTAGTTGGTATGTTCTTGAGCTGGAAAAAGGGACAGCTGCTAAAAGGTCAGACGTGAAATATATTAAAATGAGAGTCAGTCATATCACCTGAGCCAGATTTGAGGCAATGTTTTGTGTGTGTGATCCAGACGTATTTGCATGTTTGTGTGCATGTGCACATGTGTTTTTCTGCAGACAGTCTGTGAGACGGTGAAGGGAACTGAATGCCTTTTTTGTGTTGGCAAGGAAGTAAATTGTCAGAACTCAGTGAAGCAAAATCTGTCGAGCTCAGTTCGACACTAATGAGGTCGGGGTTGTTATACAGTGTTTCCAACCATCTGTTGGACTGCACTGGACTGTTTTGGTCAGGTTAGAGAAGTCTGACTGCACTCTTTGTGCTAAATCTCTAACAAGTTCCCCACTGAGTAATTAAGGCAGCTATATTGACTAATAAAATGCTGTGAGCAGTTCAGTTCAGGGAGATTCCAGCTGTACATCTCAGCTCTGTTCTCTGGATTTGGCTCAGTGGTACTTTGAACTAAAAGCTAAAAAGCACTGGACGAGATCATATATGCAGTAGCATCTTAGTTTAATATGTTTCCAATGTTTCCAACTTTTTCACTCTCCAAAAGACACGGGACCGAATTTTATGACGACTCCAGCAGTTCCCATTGTTGTATTGTAGGTTTTTCACCTTACAATATAAAGTGCTCTGAGGTGATGGCTGCCGATGAATTGAACTGTCATAGAACAAGAGGCAAGGTAGACCCTTGACAGGTCACCAGTTAACCTAACATGCTGGGAGGAAGCCAGAGTGCCCAGAGAGGACATACAAACTCCACAGCAAAAGGCTCCAGCTATCCTATAGTTTCAAACCCAGGACCTTGTCGCTGTGAGGCAACAGTGTTAACCAGCACTCCACTGTGCCTCCCTGGGGATCACAGTAGTCATTAGGATTAATCCTCTAGACACCCTTGTTGTCAGCAGTTCATCTAATGCTCACTCAAAGTGGTGGACCAGAGGCCGACAAACCCTAGATTAGTGCTGCTTTTTTATCAATAAAGTACTATACAGATTTTCTATATTCTTTGAAGAGAGCACGGGCATAATGAAGTCCACAGAGAGAGTCTATAATTTTTCCTTCTGAATAAAGGATTGTAGATGACCATGTGGTGTTTCTGAAAGTTACACGTTTCTTATTATCCATTTTATCCAAAGTGTGTGTGTGTGTTTGTTTGTGTGCTTCCTTGGTGCTGCAAAGCTGTTTGAACATAGATTGTTGTTCTCCAAGTAACCAGGAGAGGTCAGAAACTGAAGCAGAAAATCTGACAGGAAGGGGAAAGTTGGAAGTAAAAGGAAACCTCTGGGAAATTAATGGCATTGCCTTCAGGAAATACTTTTAACAATGATTCCACCTCAACTGAAATGGAGTCTTTTTAATCCATGGGAAGGAATACTACTAATTTTCATCACAAGTCCAGCCGTCTCCCTGTAACCGAATCACACACCGAATATCCTAAAACTCTTTGTTATAGCCACAATACAAGAAGGCGGTTTATTTTAAATTTTATACACATTACATGATCAGTTTCTAGCTGTTGCATAAGAAGAACATGACATATAAAGATATGCACATGTGTATTTGACTGGTTGTTAATTATGTTAGCAGGACGGAGAGCTGTATTAGGCATGTGAGCATACAGTGTTTCTACTGAGTGATGATGTCATTTTGATCATTTCAAAGTAAGAGTTTTCAACTGAACTACATCTCCTGTCATACATGTCAGAGCTACGTTACTGTGCAAGCAGATCAAAAGTGGTTTGTTTAGAAACTTAGAAAGAACGCCACTGCAAAAACATTTCATTTGGAGGTTCATCTGGTACGATTAGGTTCCACCCTTGTGAATTAACTCTGTGTATCTCTTTGCAAGCCCCTAACTGATTATTCGATTGATGTCTCTCGCACTCAATCTTCCTGCTATCGATTTTAGCACAGCAACAAGGACAGCCTTTGCACAGGAAAGGTTCATGTGTATGAGTTAGTAGCTGACATGGATTTGTGTGCATGTAGTTAAGTGCAGTTTGCAGATCTGTAAATGAATTAGTGTTTCTAAAAGCGGGGCAAGACGAAAGCTTTTATTTCATTTTAAAAAATGAATTCCACTTTCATTCTTTCTTCTTCTTCTTTTTTTAACAAGCGAGTGTGCACGTCCAGTAAGTTTGATCACAAACAGCAGTTTGATATTTCAGTCTTTAATCATTATGGAAACAGAAAAATCAATGAAATATCAATACTAGCCATTATTTATAAAGTCTTTCAGAGCCACGTTTCAAAGGGCTTTACAGTATAACACGGACAGAAACAATATAAAACAAGAGGCCAAAGGAGCAGTATTAGTATGAAATAGATCTATTTTTACAGGTACTGTTGAACAGATTTGGCTGGTGTTTCAGTGGACGGGGCCTAAAGGCAAAAAGGATTAGCGGGAGGACATTGGTGCACTTGCATTTCATAATCAGAACTTTATATGACACACATTCAGTCAGAGCTGTGAGCCTCATAAGCCTTTTAAAGGGATGGTGACGTCAAACAGCAAAACCCCGAAGAAAATTTTGTGATGTTTATTCATTATAAATGTGGCTTTTATAGACATTGAATTTAGGACAAAGTGAATTTGAAAAGAAAAGGATATAAATAGAAGCTAAAGCTTAATTTCAGAAGGAAATCTAAATTACATCTTTAAAAACAGGTGCTTTGGTTAATTGGTCAAGAACTTTACCTGAGGGTCATCAGAGCGGTGGCACAAAAGCCACCAAATATCCAGCATGAGTCAAAGCTGATTTAGAAAAAATCAAGTTTACAGTTTCAAGCAAACTCAGACCTTCTTTCCTGATCTTTTCAATTAAACTAATCCAGCATTTTACCTAATAAACATAGAAAGCATATGCTCCTTTTTTCTAAAGCTCTTGCAAGTGAGTGCAGTTGTGTCTAAATGATTTCCATCTCTATCCTAAACTCATTTAGTTTCTCTCTTATTTGATCAGGACATCTCCTGCGGAGATCTGCTTTCTGGAATTTGTAAAAGTAAAAAAAACATTATAGAATTATAAAATGACATGATGAGCACGAGTCATGAAGAAATGCGGAGATATGGATCCTTCTCTTCCTGCAGCGTCTGTCACTGAAAGCACTGTATGTAACACACTCAGATAATACATTAATGTCTATAAAGTAAAATGGAAACAGGGCTTCTGGTGTTTCTGCTTGTTCTCATACAGTTTCTGTTCAGTGCTTTCATATTGTTATGCAATAAGGACTGAGAGCTTCCTTTTACACCAGGAACCGAGCTTTTCATTGGATATTTCTCTCATCCCTAGCCGCTTCCGCTGTTACACAATGGCGTAATCAAACTGTGCTCTGTCGAGACCTTCCTTGTGGTCCGTCCACGATGACGATGGCATGCTGCTGTAGGGATCTAAAATGATGCGGACACAACGAACCACGAGGAAGAGCAGCAGCAGCACGAGGAGGCCAACAAAACACAGGGCTGATCCTTGTTCTGGGTGACCCGGCACGGGCTGCAGCACGGTGGGGCCCCGGGGATACTCGGGCGGAGCTGGAGAAGAAACATCATAGTCCATGAGCCAGTAGTTTGTGTTGCTCATCTCGGAAGTGAGGGAATGTTTTTGGAGATTGAAATCGCTTAACTAAATGACTGTTTCTTTGCAGTCAGAAGCTCTGAGGAGTGGCACTGCTCCGCATGGTCGTCTTTGTTAATGTTCGTAGTTTCTAAACATGGAGGAAGCTCGCGAAGTGAAATCTGGCAGCTATCAGCTGGCTGAGCGCAAATGCAGCGTTTTCCACAAGCCCCAGGGCAACAGAAATAACACAGCACAAATTAGCAGTGCAAATTAATCAGTCCTCTGGTAAATGGTGTGGCAAGCTGGGGCATGCTCAGCATGGTCAAATTAGACTGAACTGGCTGGTGTTGGCATGATCCCTATATAGCACTCATTTCTCCTACACACACTCATTTGTTCTCAAGAGATCTAAACAATACAAAAGTAGAGGTCCCTGATTTATTTATTCTGTGTAATCCTCCGTTTATTGGTCAAAATTTTAACCGTCATCCAATAGCAGCTCTCTGGAGGCCTTTATTGTAATTACAAAGTGAGTATAAGTCTCAGCTGAGTGACTGAAGATGTCCCATGGATCAATCAAAGTGCCTGCCGGCTGGAAATGATGTGTGTCGTGCTGCTTCACAGAATTCTTTTGCATTCAAATTGTTTTGACTGTGTCGGCCTGGTTACTGAGCAAAGCTTGTATTTTTGTGTCTATTTCTTCATCCGGAGTCACGAGGAGCTTTTTCGTTTGGGGTTTCAGTCATCGGGATACCTAAAAGGAAAAAAGAAGCAATAAAACCTCAGTAAATTTCCAGTATGCACTTCCTGGATGTAGAGAAAACCCACTGATTCAGGATTTGACCAGGGTTCAATTTTATTTGTTTGTTTCTGGGCACCAAGTGAATATTTTGGGGGGTTTTCCTGCAAGCACAAAAAAAATTGTGTGAGAAAAACAATCTCTCCTGAATTCAGATATAGCTTAGTAGAAGATAAATAAACCAGGCACTGATGAGGGGAAAGAAAAAGAAATATGGAGAAAACCCTCAGGGAGTTGCTGCACTCTTGCATGGATACACCCTGCACAGCTTCTTTAATGGAGAGACATTTTCCTGCGATAGGTGAATTCCCCGGTCAGCAGATTCTATTCCAGGAGGTTTCCTCTTCCTCCTTAAGACCCTGCAGATCCTCACAAAGACACGCTGATAGCGCTCTTGCTCACCCAATGATGGGACTTAAGGGCATAGTAAAGGTTTAATAGGGGACCTTTGGACACAATGAAAGAAAGTGCCTGCCTCAGTATCAATTATCAAATGGCCTGTGGTTGCATCAGGTCTGGACAGCACGGAATAGCCGTGTGTAGAAGAAGAAGAAAAGAGGCTAAATAGGCAGGACGGGCTCGGCAGTCAATAGAGCGGACATAAAGTTTACACGGCAGGACAGAAATCACTTTGAAAAAAGGCTGATAATGAAAACAGGGATAGCAGTTTCTCACCGTTTCCATTTTTTTAAGGATTCGATTGATTTTTAGCAGCTGGCTGTAAACACAAAAGAAGATTAACTGGATTTAAAAGTTAAAGATTTGCTTTCTCTTAAATCCTTTTGAGCAGTTGCCCTGACAAAATACACTTTAACCAGTAGTTATGCAACACAACCAAAGTTATGGCTCTCTGGAGCTCAGCTTTACCAGTTTCCTAAATGCATAAAGTAGGAATCACTCTGCACTTTGCATCCTTTCCCCACCTTTATTTAAATCAAGGCGTGAGACAAAGCACTGATTATCATATATGTGGGTCTGTTGCAGGTCTGGAGTTTCAAAGAGGCGACCAGAGAAGTCATGTTTTATGTTTTTAGGTCATTCCACAGCCCTGCAGATTAGCCAAGGTCATAATGACAAACAAACAGCAACAGATCCAAGAGCACGGGGGAAAATTCATTTTCCCTGAGAATCAAAGCAAACACAAAAGCTTTAAAGAATATAAAAGAATAAGCCACATCAATTTCATGGATCACTGATCTTCATTGCGAGACCTGCTTTGGTTTCTAAACAGCACATAAATCACACTTTATTGCCTGACCGTCTGATTTACGCAAAACAGCGAAATGAAAGCCTGGTGTGGACAGTTCAGGACTCCAGATTTGTAATAAAATCTGAAGCCTTTTTTTTTTTCTAAAGCAATGAAGCAAAAAAAAAGAGATTGATGAAAGCACTAAGCAGCTGTGCCAGTGAAATCTGACGACACACTGAGTGACATATGGCATTCCTCGTGCCTTTAATACCTGTAATACCTCCAATTTAGGGCTCTGGATTATGACAGCAGCTTTGAAAATGTCAAGGACTTCTACAAATGAAACGGATATTGTCTGAAAACTAAAGTAAATCCTTAAAGTGGGACTGTCCAACTGTGAAAAGGGGATACAGTCTCCACCCAGCAATGAGCACATTGCTGTTAAACCTGTGTTTGGTGTCATTAAGATGATTAAAGCCCTAAAACATCTTCATATTCGGCCTCCTATGCAATTATTTTTTTGTTCTCCATTAAAAGGTAACAAATTTTAATGGATATTAAAACACAAATTATTTAAATGGATTAAAAAAAAATTGCAATTCTCCCACTCTTTTATTATAAAACAGAGTGAAATTAGAAGTTTTTAACTGAATTTCAGTGAAGGATTTTTTGAATGTAACTTCTTTTAAAACTTCTTACTTCGCTGTAACTTTTAAACACTTCACAGATTTTCAAAATCAAAGACGTAAGCTGAACATTGCAGTGGTTTAAAAAGCTCTAATTTTCCAGGATTGTTGAGAAGTGAAAGAATTAACTTCCTTCATAAATATATTTTTATATATGTTTTTGTAGAATATATCACAAGATGAAAATCACATGTGAGGTGTTAAGGTGCCCCCCTCTTAATAGTTCCTTTAAAACATTATTGATATAAGTAGCACAGAGAGGATTGAACATGTTTTAAAGGGTGTCATAAAGTTACACAAGAACTCACAAATCACACCTCCTACTGTTTCTGACAGCTCACAGACGTTGCCATTTAAAAAGTTAGGCATGCAGGACCACAATAACTCCTACAAACAAAAGTTTAACGAAGCAAGCACAGTCACCATTGTCATGAAACACAAACTGGAGGACGATCAGAAGAGATTAGAACTTACCTTGAGGTGAGGACTGTGTAATAATAAAGATGGTGATGATGATGACGATGCAGCAGTAGCCCTTTCAGCACCTTGGACAGCTCTGTGCTCACTCACGCTGCACGCACAGATTCAAGACTGAACTCTGCTTTCTCTGAGGGCTTTAAGGTCTCTTCAGTTTCACGGATCCGCCCCACCTCCCTCCCTCTCCGCCCACCAATGACTGCCCTTGTGCCATGCACGCACACACACACACACACACACTGTTTTCGTTTGGATGAGTAAATCACAACATGTGGCTTTTGAATTATATAAGAGGAGTGCATGACGTGGGGACAGTCAGGGATCCTGATAGCCACACAGCCATTATGGAACAAAGGCCTGTTCTGTTGTTGTTTTCCTTGAAATTTAAATGATCAAATTACCTTAATGCTCCATGCCATGCAAATAAAAGCAGCCGCACAGAGAAGACTTGTGTTAGACAGCTGACAGCAAATATTTCACTTTCATAGATTTACTTTTCTTTTTTCTTTTTTTTAACAACTAAAAATGCATCTGAGACAAGTGCGTCTGGCTGAACCACCAACAAACACTATGACATCTTGTTGAATATTATCCTGTGGGGAATAAGAGGAGTAAAGACAAACATAGATCCACCACTGACCACATACCTTCTGTGGATTTTGTGGGAATTTTGGTGTTTTAGCAACCTCAGAGAAACTTTTAGCTTTCTTCCACTGGGATGTCAGGAGGCTCAACTCTTGTAAATCAGGAAAAAACAAGTCATTTTAAGTGCAACAGCTATTCCTTGGGGCATATCTTCAATTTAAGTGCTATTATCCCCTCGTTATGTGAGTGTGCATGTCTCCCCGTTTCTGTTTTTATGTAGCTCACTGTACAGAACAGTTGACCAAATCTAATGATATATTTCTCAACATCACAATAAATGCTTCATATTCTGGCCTGTTCTTTTCTATTCTATTCTTTATGTCTAATATTCTGATTAAAGCTCTTATTAAACAAAACATGGGTTATGAAGCTAGATTAGATTTCTTTTAAGTGATGTTAAGAGATCTGTGCAAATGTACAAAAACTGCAGATGACCACATTGTCTGTTTTGGACAATAAGACTATAAGTAGGGTTTGCCTCATGGATAACTGGTATTCCTTCATAAAAAATATGTTTCCTGTATTAAAATATTAGCATTGACAGAGTTTTTTTTAAATACAGGGTGTATTCATTAGTACCATTAGAATCTGCTGTTTTTTTTAAAAAAAACCCATTTCTTTGTTATATTGTGTAAGACGGCATTTAAATTTGATGTCAGGTTGCACTCCAGGTTTTGCTGACCTGCAAAAAATTACATGATCAAGAAGTGGAGCAAAACAAGCGGGGCTACCTGATTGTGCCTGTGGCTATAAGCTCCGAACTCACTGTGAGAAGTAATTAATTGACACAATTAAAACTCTACAAACACTGCTGCAGACTGTAGTCCATACACAGCCACATCTCCCCTGCCTGAGGCTGCATGGGATCTCCCAGTAGGTTTAATTAATAGTCGGTGGATTGTAACACTGCCCTGAAGGGGATCATAATCTCATAACAATGAGCAGTGCTCCAGCAGTGCACCCACTGTGGTCATAAATGGTAAGAGTCTCCAACCCACAAGATGATGAAACTCAGTGTTTATACTTTGCTACCCTTCCTATCTATACAACTCCAAATCTACGAACCAGAATGCAAATCTCACAAACCCGTATTTGTTCACAATAAAACATAGAAAACATATCAAATGTTCAAATAGTCATTTTTTTTTTAAATTATATAAATATAAGATATTTTTATTGCAATTTTTTATTACAAATATTAGCTCATTTTAAATTTGATGTCAGTAACGTTTCTGGGGTTTTTTTTTTAAGTTGGAACGGCTCAACAAGATCTTTTGACCCTCAGGCATTAAAAACAGACATGACTCTGTTATGAAAATCCCAGCATGGGCTCAGGAACATGTCCAGAAATCACTCTCTGTAAACACACTTCAACGTGCCATCCTCAAATCCAGGTTAAAGCTCTATCATGCAAAGAAGAATATGCTAACACTAAAAACACTGCCTCTGTCTCTGTGCTGGTGCTCATTTAAAATGCAGGCAAACCAAAATGTGTAATTCCTGAGAAAGTTGAGTTTGTTTATCTGAAAAGAGTGCTTTCAGAAATGTTACACATTTCTGGGATTTTCTTACATAAACATGACTCTCTCTGGATTCTGATTTTATTTACATTTTACACAGCATCCAAAGTTTCTTGGAATCGGGGCTGTACATGAAACACTGGGTCAATCGGTGTCTTAAGAAGAAAACAGAGGCCACTGGTACAGTATACTTTTAGCAGTTAGTCTGGGAATGGGTTGGACCCATCTCAATTTGAAGTCAAACCATATAAACGCCCTCAATAAAATAAACCTAAACCAAAAAACTGAAATTGTTTAGCCATTAAGTATGTTATACTTCTTTCTACTCCATTTCAGACCTAATAATTGTCATTTCATGTCATTTAGACTGTTTTATTTTATTTATTTTCTTTTTTGTTTTATCTGAGCACATACGTGTGTGTATTTACATATATATTCATATTTGTAAATACAAGTATGTGTACTTGTGTATATATTGTTTTTTTTCTGTATATGTCTGAAATAAATAAAGATACAATACAATACAATACAATTGTTAGGGCAATGCCTGAAGGGCTGCCTGCATTATGATAACCCTGTTATAACGTAGACTAGATTACAGCTTGATGTATGCATGGTAGTGTGTCACCAAGACGATGTTAAAAGAAAGCTCTGCTCTGCCTCCATGACCCTTTTCCCTTCTGAGGTGATTGTGTTGTTGCATTTAATCCCATTCACTTGGGTGCAGTAAGTGTGTTGTTGCTTGGAGGGACTTTTCCCAGTAAGATACTCTCAGTATAGTGAGGGCTTTACTCTTCACTCATGCTCCACATTGACAGAAAGTGCATGTCATACAGTTAAATCCAAGTATTTGGAGAATGACACAGTTTTTCTAATTTTGCCTTTGTAGACCAACACCGTGGATTTTAAGTCAAACAATGTGACTGAAGTGTAGACTTTCAGCTTTAACTCATTGGGCTCAACAAAAGTACTTCACACAGTCTATTTTCAGAGGCTCAAACGTATGAGGGCAATAAGGACGAGCAGTTTCATGACCAGGTGTGTCCTTTCCCCTTCTTACTGATGAATCTGACAGGTGAAAGATCTGGGTCGTTTTCCAAGAGTTCAACTTAGAAAATGACCCAGATCTGTCAATATGAGGCCCAAAGGTGATGCAAGCTAAGGAAGCCAAAATAAACCTCAGAGAGAGCAAGGAGTGGAGTAAGAGGGGCCAAATCTACAATCTGGTTCATTCTTAAAAAGATGGAATGGATGCAACACAAACAGGCCTGAAAGATCACAGGAGACGACTGAAATGTGTGATAATGTAATTTCCATGGGTAAGAAAAACAACTTCACATCATTTAGCCAAGTCATGAACTCTCTCAAGAAGGTAGGCATAGCATCGTTAAACGATGCCTCCATGAATGAAGGAATGTTGGCATGTACGGCCGCCAGTGTCACATAAACACTTTATGTGACTGCTGATAGAAGCAGCAGGATGAACTGCAACGTGTACAAGGCTATACTCCTCAGATCCAGGCAGACTTCAGGTAATCATGGATGAAAATCAAAGTCAAAGTTAAATACTTTCCAGTCAAAGTATTAGAAAAATTCATATATTTAAGATTGTTAGTTTATCCAGTTAATTTTGAGCCTCTGAAAATTTGGGACTGTGTATGAAAATGGCTGCAGATCCTAAACAGTTCATGGAAGATGTTTGTTTTTATTTTGCACTTCAGTCACATGTAGGTTTAAAACCCACTGTGCTTGTGTACAGTGTCCAAAAATGTACAAACCTAACTGTAGGAACATAATAAACCTGATAATGGCACCATACATTAATAATTCTGACATTTCACGTATGGTTTTTCGTTCCCTCGTAGGCTTCAGCTGCAGTCAGACAAGCAAGGAGACTCCAAAGAACTGAAAGAGGTTAGTTGATATGAGGACATCCATACTCGTACATCACAACAGACAGCCGAGGGATCAGCCCCCGCCCGCCTGATATATTGACCCCGGGGTAGAAGCTAATCTATCAGCCCTGTATTACCAAATCTATAGGTTTATCAACCAGTGTCAATAGGCATCTATCAAAGTGGGTCAGTTTTTAAAATGAGAAAGCAGACACACATAATGCGCAGACTTTAATTTACTCATTCGAGCACAAACACACAGTATTCAGATGTGCTGACTCGGGGAGAGGCTGGATGAAACAAATCATAATACAGCACTCTTTGTTCTGCTGACTGACACAGAGAGAGAAATAAAGGATCTCTGAATACATCGTGGGTCTGCTGTCATTCGCTGTAAAGCAAACTAGTCTGACTTGAACTATTAGAATTTCTCTTTATTCTGATCCAATAAAAACAGTATGTACAAGGACAGTTTTTACAGCAACACAACATGACTGAAACTGAGGTCCTGCCTGTGGCGCCTCAAACCTTGAGCGATCATTACTGCCGTTAAAGGTTTGCATAGAACAAACTCAAGATGCAAACATCACTATCTGTCAGGCAAAAAAATACGTTTCTCCAAATCACAGAAACTTCTCCCCTGGGACATTTTGGCATTTAATATGGGCTCATGAGAAACAGTTGTGTCTTGTTGTAATCACATTTTGACTGGTGGTGGCAGCAGAGTCCAAAACAGCACGGTTTCAGTTCAGAAAGAAAGACACACGCTCAATAAAAAAAATAACATTTAAATACGAGTCCTCTCACCTGTCGTCCTCATAAATAAAAGTGCATGTTTTATGGCGAGTGTGTTGTTTTAATCATCAGGAATGACTCCAACACAACTGTCACATGTTTCTTTCAACACTATCGCAACCATGTGATGGATTACACAACCAAGACTCATGAGAAGCAGAAGGCGAGCACTGTGTGGCCATCGGACACATCCATGACTTTCGGACATCTGCAATAAACCAGCTCGTGCGGTTTGACCTTTAATGGAAAGTGCTGTGCTTAAAGAACACACACATCCACAAACTCAGAGCGTCTTTACAGAGGAGGTACAACATGAAGCTTAAAGACATTCATTATGAACTGAATGAAGCTGTAACGTTACAGTACGATCAGAATGTGTGTAATCTTTACTTACATGAACAACGATATCTATACGTGTCAATCATCGTCATCATTTATGTCTCGCAAAGCCACGTAAATGTAAACCAAACAGTTCTGCTGAAAAATGTGCAACGATTCCTCAAACATCAAAGCTGCTTCAATGACTGGAAAAGGTAAGGTGGTCCCATTTCGGCTCACAAGCATGACGACGTTGAATATAAGCTTACACTAATAAGTAGATACGAGTCCACCTGGGAGCTTTATCACCTCGATTTCTCAATTTGATTTCAAGTCCCAGTAAACTGTAGTCTTGTCATGACAGGGTGGACGTCGTATGTTTTTATCCTTGTTTTACTTTTTCATTTGACCATTACTCTTATGTAAAAACCAGCAGGAGCAAAGCAGAAACCAAAACAAACCAAACACTGACACTGAAGAACATTAAAGGCCTTGCAGCTCTCATCCGTTCTTTCACGGTGATTTTGAGAATTCATATTTTAATATTAGGCCCTAAAAAAAATTCTTTAAAGGCCGGTTTGCTTTGACTGAGAAAAAATACTCTCTCTGTTAAACTCAGCTCAGTTGATCGCTGCTTATTCAATGCTGTTGATGCTACACAGGAGGCAGCTGTGGTTCATCTGCTGCAAAAACTGAAGCATATTTTTATGCTTTTAACATGCACTACAGTACCCATAATGCACTAGTCTCAACATTGTGCCCAAATCCATTCACCGAGGCCACAAAAGTAAAACTGAAGCTGCTCTATTAAAGTGTCTCCTGTGCACAGATGATTCAAAGGTCCCCACCACAGTCAACAATTTCATCTTCCAGCTCCATTATTTAACCAGGATTAATGTAATTTAGGTATAAAACATCCCCCTAAAGGCCAACAGATATCACAGACTGCATGTCCATTTTTTACCACTGTCATAACAGGATTATTTACAATCTGCCCACCAGCCGTCCAGTATTGATGAGCTATGCAGGCTCCTGGTGAAGATGCAGGTCCATCCATGCTGAAGTTAATTAGTTATGCAGTATATACATACTCCAGGCAATCCAAAACACTGAGCGTACCAGTACAGAAGACTGCACAGACAAACTTAACTGAATGTGTCATAAACTATCTCCAAAGCTAATTGGATCTACATGTCAGAGGGTGGTCAAATATGCACGCTTGCACATAAATCCTCTGGGTACAAATGGGGTAATGGTACTCTCTCACACAGCAGCAGGGTTTCCCTCTTCTCTCTTTGTTCAACTTAATGTATAAAGGATGTGCAGCTATTCCAGGTATGTGTTTGTATCTCAGTTTGTGTCCCCCAGATGAGCCACTGTGCTCCTGCTCCTCCTCTTAGAGGACCTGCTCCGTGCTGGAGGCAGAGATGTCCAGGAGCCTCCAGGCAGCACTGGGGTTCAGCTCCTCTTGGTCCCGACACAACGCCCACACATACATCATCCTCATCACCTTCTCCTGTTGAGGGAGGAGAAGAGAAGAAACAGTGAATTCCAAAGAGTTTTGCAGACTTCAAACTTTAAATGTAGTGAGTTAATAAATGATCTGGCTTATGATGATATATTTGAGGCCTCTAACATTGCTAACAATTGAAATCCGATGATATCAGACAAGTTAATATTGCTGCATCAAACCCATAAATGAGAAAGACATTTAAAAAAAAAATGGGCCTCTGTTATAGACCACTGATCTGATTTCAGCCTTTTAGTGTTGTTTACTTCCTTGAGGAAGCTTTGATGGTATCCACTGGATTCCCTATTCTAGCACAGTGATCGTGAGATAACTGACCGGATCTCCTTCCACAATATCTCCTTTGGGGCTGCGAATCACCATGACAACCTGAGCCTGGAAGGTGATGATCAGCACAGGGCCCTGATCCATCATCTTACCCATCGCCAGCTGAAACACAGGGTTACAAAATGAACAGACAAATGAAAGGAGAAAGGGAAAAGCAGAAAACGGGGAAAGAGCTTTGTAATACAAGCTGCATGATGGTTACCGAGCATCAGGGAGAGCACTTACATCTAAGTTATCGATGTCGAGCACTTTAGACTGGAAGAGAAGCCCCAGAGCTCGGGCCTGCTGGATGGGGTGGGCAAGCTGACTGTAGGTCTGAGTACAAATACACGTAACACACATCTAGCATTAAAACATGCTTCCCACAAACTGTATGCCAGCTAAAATGCAATTACTGAAAAATAGGATTCTGTCTTTTTGTAAACATCACAACGTAATAAGCTCTTCTTCTTCTTCACATATGTCCCCTGTATTATGTCAACACCTGTAGAAACTGCTTTTGTTACTGAGTGGTGTTTAATAACTCACAGCTTCATAGCACCAGTCCTTTAATACCTCCAGCTCGCCACGGATGATCGCCTGCAGAAAGGACAAAGATACCGAATTATAGCTTTAAAAACATAAAAAAAATCTCACAGGTATTCTTGTGACTTTTAGACAGGATGCTCGAATTATTTTAGCAAATCCCACATCTCATATTTAACCGAGCACAGTAAACTTTAGTGAATTCATTCAAAATCGGAACATGTTGAGATCGTTTTCTGCTAGTCTAAATCAAGACTTCAACTACACTCAGTGCTCTCCTCCTGATATAATCATAAACAGCATTTTATTTCATTTTATCTTTTTTACATAACAAGCATGCAAGACTTACAAAACTGTATCATAAGCTCTTGGATCCCCTCGGTTATCTGAATGATGTATTTAGCTGCTGAACTTGGTTTAAACTCAGTAATCTAACAGCTGAACTCAAACAGAGGACAGGAAATTCATTACTGGATCCGATCAAAACTAGAGTGAAAACTCAGGCTAAATGAACCGAGACTTTCATCAAGTCTCTTCCTAACCTCCACAGAGAAAAGCATTAACGGAAACAGCGAGAGTGAAACAGACACAGACAGAGGCTGGAGGAACCCGTTTACCTCCAGTATGTTGGGGATGATGTCTTTCTCACACTGTTTGAGGAAAGAATCTTTGTCAAAGCTGGGGTCTGCCTTCAGGATCTCTGTCAGCACCTCGGACATTTCCGTCTTAGAGAAGAGACCACCTAGGAAACAAAGGCTAAATTCAGAAGCAGCAACAAAAATCACTCAGCACCACAAATTAAATGTGTAACGTCGAAGCTGGTGAATATCATCAAATATCTAGAAGATCTGTCAGTACCATGGAGCATGTAGTTAATAGTATTCCTGGCTAATCAGAAGATTAATAGGTTTTGGGATAAAAAAGGATTTTTTTTTTTTAAATAAGAAGAACAAGATTTGAGGTCTGGCGAGAACAATCAGATAAAAGGCTTTTACAGAGAAAAGGAACTCCAAATTCAGGATTGAATGTGGTGGAGCATTACCTAGGAAGTCAGTGACTCTGTCAGTTAGAGCTCTGGATGCTCTGATGAGGGCATTGTCACTTTCATCATATTTCATCTTCATCTCGAAGATTCCTGAATGAAACAAAAATGGAGGTTGAACAGGTTAGACATGTCTCCACTGATTACGGCAGGTACATTCTGCACCTGTGCAAACAGCTCATGACTGCACTTCATTATTAGCTGATCATTGAATCTACAGTAAACATTCTACTGCCCCCTGCTGCCATAAAGCGAAATTACATATTTCTTACTGTTAAAAACTACGTTGTTGTCCTTGAAGTCCTTCCACTGCTGGGACCACTTTGAATCCTTGTGAAGAACGACACCCATGGCCTCTCTGAGATTTAAAAATGGAGATAATTCGCCGCATCAGAGAGGTGGGTGCACAACAGCTTGTGTCATTGGACTGGTTTTGAGATCTAACATTTACTCACTCGTTGGCCTCGAACACTCTGGTGTCGTCATCTGCACTTTTAGATGAGAAATCGCTCCTCTTCCTCAGCTGAGAAGGAGCCCTGTAAGGGCCGGCGTCACCGACATCTATCTCCTTCTTCATGGATTCTACACCCTGCAGAGAGTTTGCAGTTTTTAATTATAAACATAATCAGAGTCTAAACCAAAATTTTAATGACATCCAAAAGTAAATTCAAAGTTTAAGCTGCTTCTAAAGAAAGCAGTAGCAAAAAGCAGCTGAGAAAGGCTTTTGTAAACATTTTATAGCCCAGAACGTAACAACTATTTGCCAAATATGACCTGAATTAACCAACAACTGACTGGTGTCTGAAATCTGCCCTTATGTTCCTGTGAAGAAAGATGTGTTAACGACTAAATGCTTCCATTTTCTCCCCTGCTGTAGTCAAAACATCTATAAAGTCTGGCAGACACCTGGATACCAACAAGAACGTACAAAAGATGAAGATGAGAGGCATTAATTTGGACATCTATAGACGTCTCGTTTCGTTTTCTGACCTGTGTGATGGCCTTGAACGCGTTGGTCCGGCCCAGTTTTCCCCCTCCCTTGGATAAAGACTCAGCAGAGCCTCTGGCTGTCTTGGTGGCCTCCTCCACACCTTCCTTGATCTTCTTCCCGATGTCACTACGACTCACTTCCTCGAGACTCTTTGATCCAAATGCCACGCAAGCACACAGCAGGTTTCATTTTATTAATAATGTCCACGTAATGTTTATTTAATTGGAAAGCATTTTTAACAACATTACAACTTAATGTGAACTCTTAGTGTGCGATTCCAAATTAAATTATTATATTTTCATGTTGGGGCTGTCAATCAGGTTGGCCTTACCTCCTTAACGGTCTCTGATAGAGAGCCCAAGGTCTTCTTAAACACCTCTGATGTCTTCACTGTCTCTGCCTCTATCGATTTCTGATCAGAAATTTTTAAAATAACAACATTAAAATTCTAGAAAGCTAATTAAATATAATAAGCTTGATGATGTTTATCTTTATATATAATATAAATCAAACCAGCTAATGTAATTACATATTTTCTGCGGGCCTGCTGAAGGGCGTCGGACTCCTCGAGCCTTTTGGCCTCTTCCCTGAACTTCTTTATGTTTTCCTTCATCTCCTGATTCTTACTGAACTCCTGACGAAGGTTATCAACAAACTCTCCCAGAAAACCTTTCCGTCCTGAGGCATATCGCACCTAATGACAAACACAGAGAAGGACTTTAGCTGGACAAACACGTGCACCAATAGAGTAAACAGATTAAGCACGTGCTGCGACTGGAACAATGAAAAGAGAGAAGAAGAAAAAACAGAACCTATGCATTGCTTTTCATAAAACCTTAAACTAAAAAAGGGCATAAAGATAAGTAATCCCAGGACTTTAAGTTAAAAGAACTGTTTAAATTAACAGGCAGTGATTTAATAAATGAGTATCTTGAGGGTGAAATGGGAGGTGTTGTTGGGTACCTGCACAGCTGCACCTGGGCTCCTCTGCAACCTGTAATGATCTCCCCTCCACACTGAGGAGACCAGAGTCCGGGAGCTGAGAGCCAAGGCATTTCTGCCAATCAGCTGCAACAGACACACAGAATCAGTCAGTCATAGTTAGCTGGGAGGTAAACCGGCACGTAATACCATACTTCTAAAATATATCCCTTCATTTGTTGAAGCTCTGACATGTTCCATGAGTGTGCTTAAAACCTGGTGACTGTGACTAATGCAGCACATCATCATCCTGTCAATAAATAAATAAATGTCTTCTGTCCTAAGTGGGATATTTTCATCCTGACCAGGACAAAAATCACAGGACAAATTCAAAATTCATGATCCAGTCTTAATAGATTTCCCCTCTAATTGCTAATATCTGTCCTTTAGTTGATAACTTATTTTGATGGTTGTACATTTAAACATGAGAAATTAGGTGAAACATGCTGTGGCAACAATGATCTGTTTTGGTGCGTTTTATCCTCTGCTTATAACAATGGCATACACACGGTATTACAATTTTCGACCCTTTCTAAAAACGACGAACGCACCATATTCTCTGTCTGTGTAAAATGAAGCGTGATCACGTTATTTATATTGAAAGGATGCTTCGGTTATTTGTCAGGAGACAGAAGCTATAACAAGTGGTCACCGCTGCTCTACTTAAAACTGTAACAGCTTTCGTGGTTTTATAGCAGCGAGGTCACTGATCATATTTGCTCTAGTACCTGACTGCATGCAGGCTTCTAAAAGTCGCATCTTAAATGAAATGTGCCACTCAAGCACAGACACGCAGAGTCAAAACCTGAGTCAATACAATGGGATGATTTTAAGACCCCAGGAACTAAATAACATTAGTAAACCTCTGCCGTGCGTCTGATGAAACAAGGCCCTTTCTAACGGACATGTCGCGTTCAATTTGCGTAAAACACACCAGAGTGCACACACTCTGAAGCGCGTTCACGTCACTGGGCATAAAGAGACTGATGGCGAAGCCTTGCGAGTTTATTCCCTTAACCAGAGAGTGGGCCCAAGGCTCGGCGACTGCAACGAAGGACATGAATCTCACTAACCTCGTAGCACCGACATACGGAGGCTGCCATCTTGATCTTGTAATGCGCGGAGAAGCACGTGCGTTCCTGCTGCGGCAGCTGACGCTGTGCTCGACCAATTGGAGCAGAGTTGGTGGGCGGGGTGCGGGGCGGGGCCAGGTGTCAGAAGGACATTAAAGGGAAAGCCACTCAAAAAAAAATACCCCCCCAAGTATTAATTATGTTTTTAGAGGAAAATCAAATAATTTGTGTTTTTTAAAGATACATTTTACTGGTAGTTAAAACTAAAAATATTTGCCACGGACTCATAGGGTCTAAATGGGTTTAATGCGAAAGCACACCAATGTATGTGACGTGTAATCACCACTGAAGAATATGTGCAGATGTCTATAAAAATTTTTTAAGGCCCCGGTCCTTACCATTATTAACCATTTCCTTAAATTAACCTTTTTTTTTAAAAAAAATACACATCTTATCACATTTCTCTTTTATGCAAATGAGATATCATATTATCTACAATATCTATTTTATCTACATTGACTTTTAGGTAATTTTATGTAAATGCACAGTCCCCAATTTCTCACTTTTTTCTCTCTCTGTGCAGCATAACGTTTTCTAAAATTTAGTTTTCGAATCTCCTAAAATGTTTGTTGTAATGTTGTAATGTATTATTGGCCTTAATTATATTATTGTGTGCTGTGAATAGTACCCCTGTTTTGCACACACACTCTCACACGCGCCACATAATGTTAGCATAATGTCTAAAGATAATTTAAGTGCCTTGACCTTGTTATTCATTCAGCATTAAACACTCCTCTGAATGTGGGGACCAGATGAATGGTAGATATCTGCTGGCATACCAGTAAAGCTCGCCCCCCGGAGGAAACTATGCGAACTGCAGGGACTCCTCCCCTCCCTCTGCAGAGTTGGGAGCTCTCCCCTTCTGCGGTCAGCTCGCCTTGACAGCCAACACTGGCGCAGAGTCTGAGTACAAACCTTTACCATATTTTTCTGGCATATAGCGAAAATTCATACCCATACTTTCCACACATCCTCTTCCGGAGACAAGCGCTGCAGCGGCCTCGTCTAGAATGGGGAACCGAGACGATGAATACGATTTCTTGTTCAAAGGTAAAAAAGAAAAAGAAAGAAAGAAAGAAAAGAAAAAGAAAAGAAAGAAAAAAAGATGACTGCATTCCCCTTTACACAGGCTCACATCGACTAAGCAGAGCTTTATGAATGCTTTATGTCTTACTGTGTCTGTGCTGTGAGCAGCTGTGTGCATTTTTTTTTTAAAGGAAACGGAGTTTTTTCTGGGAAACTGCCCGGATGATAGTCGGTTCGTGTTATTACAATATAATGCTGTCATTGTGACATTACAGCGCCCGCAGTTATATTTATAGGTAAAGGACGCAACACCCTGCGCGTGCTCAGCTTTTTAAAAAAATATAAATAACCGAGTATAGCATGAATGCACGTTGGAGAATTTCCACCTTTATTGGATCATATTTAATTTTTTTTCTCAATCCTGTTCATGAGGCTGATTGAAGGCCTATTAGCCTCTACCTCTTACTGATCAATACGCTTCATCGCCAGATCAGGATGGTCCTCAGACAGTCTTATTGACACTATAAATGCAGCAGCTTAATGTCTTTTGTTGTCATGTCAGGCAGTGGGCCTGGTGGATTGTCTGAAGCGGTACCAGACTCCAGACTCGGGTCAGTGTTTATCTTCTCAGATGGATCCAGAATGCCTTCCTTTGATCGTGATATCAGCTCCTGTGGCACATTAACATCCCAGGCCTGTATAAGCCAAAAGGCCATTTAGATGTAACAAAGTATCCTCTGTGGGATGAATAGGGCATCTGCCGGAGGCGAGGGCTCTCTCTCTCTCCCTCTCTCTCTCTATGCTCCAACCATCTTCTGTGTACACGGCCGAAACAGGAAGGGCAAGGCGGCCTTAAACTGTCGATTCAGGTTTTGATGAAGCCTGTTATCAGCTTCCTGCAGCCCGGAGCAGCGTGATGTCGTCAGGGACAAAGTTCGGCTCTTTTTCCGTTTGTCGAAGGAGAGGGGAATAAAGTAAAGCCTGGTTACCTCAGTGCTCTCAGCGGTTTATTTCATATCACAGCCCTGACTGTGTTTTACCTCGACTAACCTCTGGATTGGTGAAATGCCACAATCATTTCAAAGGTGTGATAATGAGCAGTTTATTTTGTTTAGCACATGTTTAGTATTTTCATCAGTGTAAAAAAAGGCTGATAGTATTGTTTAGTTTCCTGGTGGTTTTATATAGAATGTTCACGCATCACAACATCATTGTTTACAGTGGACTTCCCCTCAGGAAGTACAAGACCTGCATTCTTTTGTGTGGATGATTTTTTTTTTTGTCAGTATACAAGCTTTGCAGTTGTTTTGTTGCTACATGTGACAGAAAACCCAATCATATTACAGAGGCTCTAAAAAAAGAGTTACATAGAACTGCTGCGCACTGCACCCTGGTACATTTATGTTTCCATCTGACCTTCATCAGGTATATGAAGGCCAAAAAATGCTATTTTTGTGTTTAAATGTGTGATGAAGACAAATGAAACCCACACATTTTAAACACTATTGAGTTATAACACACTAAGCATCTTGACTTTAGCGTTTTATTCTGTCATTTCTTTCATTATTCAGAAAGGTTTTTTGGCCTTACAAAAATAGCCCCAGGCTTCCACTGACACCATGATTTAGAGTCATTGCCTTATATCCATCCATCTTCTTCCACTTATCCACTTCAGGGTCACGGTGGAGCTGGAGCCTATCCCAGCTATCATAGTGTGAGAGTGAGGGTTCACCCTGGAGAGGTTGCCAATCTGTCACAGGGCCTAACACACAGAGACAGACAGCTATTCACACTCATACCTACAGAATCAGAATTAACCTCTTTGGACTATGAGAGGAAACCAGAGTACCCAGAGAGAACTCAGACAAAGGAGAACATTAAACTTGGATTTGAACCCAGGACCTTGTTTTGAGGCAAAAGTGCTAACCACCACATCGCTATGCTGCCCATTGCTTTGTGACATTTCCTGGATTTGAGACCACAGGGCCCATCCCCTGCCTCTCCCATCCCACATTCCTACAATCATCTTCTCTTTTTTCTCTTCACAGTTGTGTTAATTGGAGACTCGGGTGTGGGGAAGAGCAACCTGCTCTCTCGATTCACACGGAATGAGTTCAACCTCGAGAGCAAGAGCACCATTGGGGTGGAGTTCGCCACGCGCAGCATCCAGGTGGACGGCAAGACGATAAAGGCTCAGATCTGGGATACAGCAGGACAGGAGCGCTACAGGGCCATCACCTCAGCGTGAGTCCGATGCAGTGTTGTGCACATGCATCTGCACGTCGCCTCTGCATTGCAATCAACGAAGACACCATAAACTATACAGACAAGAAGACTTTTGTACAATAGTAACAGAAAGATCACTATTGTTGAGAATGTGTAATTTTGTTTTTAATTAATACAAAAAAGAGTGGGGTGAAATAAGTGTCTTTTTGTGGGCCAACAGGCAGCCTGGGAATTCACTCTTAACATCCATGTTGGGTGCTGTTACAGATACTACAGAGGAGCGGTGGGAGCGCTGCTAGTGTATGACATAGCCAAACACCTGACATATGAAAATGTGGAACGCTGGCTGAAGGAGCTGCGAGACCACGCTGACAACAACATCGTCATCATGCTGGTTGGCAACAAGAGTGATCTGCGCCACCTCAGAGCCGTGCCCACAGACGAAGCCCGCGCCTTTGCAGGTACTGCTGCAGAAAGGTTATTGGTACAGTGATGTTTCACTCTTACTAAATCTGTTTTCTTTCCCATTCCCCAGAAAAGAACAATCTGTCTTTCATAGAAACTTCAGCCTTGGACTCAACAAATGTTGAAGAAGCCTTCAAAAATATCCTTACAGGTAGGTGTGCTTGTGAATGGAGGTTGAATGCCAGAGCTCCACACGTCACTAGAATATTAAAAAAAGATAAAATCACACACACAATGAGGCATGAAACCTTTGGTTGATATGCAGTAGATTCAGAGGGGATAGTTCTTTTTGGTAGCTTAACTTTTTTTTTTTTTTTAATAATAAACTGTATTAGTCGGGTACCGAGTGAGGAGCTATAAAACTACCTCCTCACATCCCACATTAGTGGTTGTAAAGGTAAATTATGCAAGCTTTTAGACTGAGAGAGAAAGCTGATGTTTTCCGTTTCATCTTTTCGAAAAACAGAAATTTACCGCATCGTATCGCAGAAGCAGATTGCCGAGCGGTCTGCCCATGACGAGTCCCCAGGAAACAACGTGGTGGACATCAGCGTGCCGCCGACCACAGATGGCCAGAGAGGAAGCAAACTGCAGTGCTGTCAGAACCTGTAACCCATTGCAACGGTCCCCTCCTTACCTGGGTCAGTTATTAATTGAAATCGACAGTGTTGACATGCTTCCATCTGCTCGGGATGCAACGTTGTCTGAATCTGCACTTTTTAGAAATCAGTGGAAACAGTTCTTCCTTTATGCCACTAACGATCAATCTCAGAGAGAAGTGTTTGAATTGATTTCAAGTTGTAATCTGACCCAGGAACAGTCTGCTACATTCAAGTGCAAAAACAGGACTGAAGGTACCACCTAAGCAGCTGCCACAGTTAACCCCGACGGCGTAGCAGAATAGCCTTTCCTGACACCTTATAAGCCTAGTCATCTGCCTGTTTGACAGTTAATGCAACACACTTGGAGGTCTGGGTTTCCAATCCTGTTTGATCTGTATCAGCAGTCCTGTTTTTGGGCTTCTCTCCTCCTCCTTCAGTCATCTCAAAAGTGGTTGTGACGCTGCTGGCGCTTATTTCATTTGTGTAAAATATATTCTTTTTCTGTTTTGATTTTGATAGCTTGTCTGCTCACACACATTATATTAATGCCATGAAATTAAATTTTACAATATTATTTACCGCCTCCTCTGTATTTTTTTTCTAGCAATATACACAAAGTGACATGCTGAATGTCTAGACCACTATCTCACTTCACATTACTGACTGCTGATGCATCAGTAGCCTTTGTTAGCAG